TGCGACTCTTGATCTCAGGGTCTTGAGTTCAAGCCCCACGTTGGTTGTAGAGATTACTTAATGAATAAAACTTTAAATAATAATAAGTAAAGTGTAACTCCCAGGTTTTGACCTGAGTAACTGAAACAGAAAGACTAAGAGAGGAGCAGCTTTTAATGGGTGGCAGGTTGTGACTAGGAGATCAAGAATTCTGCTACATTTGGAATGCTTAAAGGTATGGGGGAGGAGAGGTCCACTAGGCAGAGCCCAGGGAGGGAGCTTAAGTCTTCTTTGGCTGTAAACGGTATTTAAATCCTAACACAGAGGAGGTCATCCAGAGAAGGAATGTAAAGAAGCCTAGATGCCAAGAGCAAGCCCTGGGGCACTCCATATTTAAAATTGAACCAAATGGGAGAAGTCCGTTAAGAAAATTGGGCAATAAGATCAGAGAGGTTGGAGATCAGTGTTGTCTCAGAGGCGTCTCAGAAAACAGAAGGCGATGGTTCACTGAGGGAATAGTGGTTTAACATGACAGACTGAATATACATAGTCTCTGTTTCTCCCTGAAGACAGTAAAACACGTAACTCTCGAGGATAGGTGAGGAGACAATAATGCCATCATTTTGGAAGCAGGAAAGCAAATCAAAAAGTGGTAATGGAAGTACCAGAGAGCCCGAGAAAGTTGAAATCTAAGCTAGTGGTGGGAAACCAAGAAGCAAACTGAATCTTGCTATAGGCTCCGGCAGGTTTCAGGAATGGGGAGTACCAGGAGCCTATGAAAGTGGTGGTGTAGGTGGAGCTGAAACGGAATTAGTTGATTCCCTCCTACACATTTGAGTGCAGTGACAGCACAGCGTCTTTCTGGTTCCAGCTGACTGGAAGTTTATGTTTGGAGAGGCTGAACTAAAGGAACTCTGGATTCAGGTGCTGGGCAAGTTGAGAGAGGATGAAGTAAAATTCTCCACGCCAGATGGCGAGACCTCCAGTTCCTTTCTTCCACTCAGTCCCCTAAATGCAGGTAGCTGAACTTATATCCTCCAAAATGAGATAAGGCCTTGCCTCTCTGGGGAGTGGACCTGCCCAAGAGAAAAGAAAAATCTCAAAAATACTGATGGGTAGACTACCCAAAGAAATGGCTGGGTCACCCTGAAAGTGATGCTCATTACTTGACATGCTGGCATGCTGACACAGAGCTTCTAGTCAATTTTAGTGTTTTACTCTTAATCATTAATATACAGGGGCGCCTGAATGGCTCAGTTGCTTAAGCATCCAACTTTGGCTCAGGTCATTATCTCATGGTTTGTGAGTTCGAGCCCTGCATCAGGCTGTCTGCTGTAAGTACACAGCCTGCTACAGATCCTCTGTCCTCCTCTCTCTCTGTCCCTCCCCCACTCACACACATGTGCCGGTGTGCTCTCCCTCAAAAATAAATAAACATTTAAAGAACAAACAAACTGAACT